CAAAATAAGGATCAATAAATTACATATTGAAAGTAGTTCAAAAGCTCATATTCATATTGATTTAGATTTTCTCTTGTGTTAAGGTAGAAATAGAAATTATCATATAATCATTGCTTAAAAGCTGTTAAAGTCTCCATATAGGTTTACTTACACTTCTTAGGTGATGTTTCCCAATGACCTTGTCCCACTTCTGTACACACAAGCTGAGTAAATATTACATCTAGTACAATCTCCCAGTGTGTGATGCTATTTATATTCTCACAGATTCTTGGCTAGCCAAGCACAACTTAGGAAAATGTCTAAAAATTGCTTTGTGTACATTTAATTTGGGAAAAAATCCATTAAAAAAAAACAAAGTTAATAATTGCATAAAATATCCAGGCACATGCGATGTCAATAACTATGCAACAAGCTACAAAGTATAATCCTTAGGCCTTTTTTTTTTAAATTACTACTATGTTTTCTCTCTCTCTATCACACAGGTAAGTAGAATACAGTAGTAAAGAAATCAAAACCATACAGTCTTTTAGAGAAAATTAGTCCAGTTTACTTCCCTATAGTTATATTCTCTCACCTAAAACATTCACTGCAAACCCATAGGCCATTAAAACACAATAAGCGGGCAAACTCACATGACAGCTTAACACCCATTCTCAATCTTTTCTTACCTCTCCCTAAATCAGCCTATAGATGTGTCATTGACAGCATGGACTATGGATTCATGCAGTTTCAAAAAATTAATTGTCTACTATACTTTGCCCCGCTGTTCTTCTATTCAAGAATATATGGAATGAAGTAGAATGTTCTCCAGCCATGCACTCCAGTTTATACAAACAAGTCAATGGTTTCAAATGTCCGTACTATCACCCTTAGCAATCTCAAGTGGATTTCTATTCAGGTTGATCTGGATGACTGAAAAGCAGGGCCTTGGAGAGAACCTGAGAGGTGGCAGTAGAGAGAGGGTCTGGGGAGGACTGTCCATCTAACAACATTGGTCATGGCCACTGAGCATAGGTCTAAGGTCCCAAACATTCCTGGATTTCTGTAAAATAGGGAGAGTATTCAACACCTACCCTTAGATCGGGAGTTGAGTTCAGCTCCCTCATACACAACCACTAGGACTTCAAAATCTACTGCAAGGAATTGATGAGTGGAAGACCTCTACAACACTGCATATGAGGGAAAGGTCTGTGCAGGTGAACACTGAATTCACAGAACTATGACTGCATATGAAGGCATTCTAGCTTCCTCCCTTCCACCCTATAATGAAGACATGTACACACAGTAGAAATACTTCCCATTTCTATTCACATAGTACAATTTAAATTGTTTTTAGATTACCTGAATGTAGGTTAGTGAAATTCTAATTATCCAATATGTTCTGGTAGAACCATTTGTAAATGCCATCTCTGACTGATAAGAAGTCACAATCAAGTATCCCTTATCTTTTTACATTCTTTTCTTACATAGAATAAAATGTTTCCAAGATTTTTCCTCTAAATGGAAAATATAGCAAGTTATGGTAATTAGTAGAGACTCTAAAAAGCACCAAAAGAACATTTCTCGGGAAAATTTCTAATTAAATATAAAAATCCCATTTAAACCCTATTCTTGGCCATTATTTTAAAACTAGTCATTTTAAAATCTAACATATAAGAAGTAACAACTTTTTATTATTAAGGTTCTATGCATACCTCAGTGCTCAATGATATGATAAGGCAATAGTGAACATAAAATTAAGAGGATGCTGAGTATCTGAGCACCTCTGGATGCTGACATGAAATAGATGAAAGACAAGTCCAGAGCTGTCACCAACTATGTGAACTTGGGAAAGCTGCTTTTTTCTCTCTATGTTTATTTTGCATCTGTAAAATGAGAAAAAGTCTAGTACCTACTGAATTTATGCAAACACTAAGATATGTGCACACAGTTCTAAGCACAATGCTTAGCATATAGCAAGCCCCCAATAGATGTCTACTGGTAGCAGTAATAATAAAAACAGCAACAACACCAGAATCTGAATTGCTCCCAGTTTATTCATCTAGACCCACTTTTTGACAAATATTAACTCCCTCTCCCCAGGTAGAAATGTGTAGTGTTCCCTTATACCTTACTCTCCTCTTTCTTAGAAAAAGGAAAAGACTACACATCCCAAGCCCTTGTAACTGGGTCCCTTCCAGTCCAAGGCATTGAGGAACCAATGACATGCAATCTCCAACAATCTCTTCCACTGCTGCAGCAACAACTGAAGACATGCATCAAGCTTCTGAAAGCCTGGATCCTGAGTTACAGTCTGGAGGAGAGCTGCCCTGGAGAGTCACTTTACATGCTTCCAACTTCTGGTGAATAAGAAATATATCTCTGTTGTGTTAAGCCATTGAGATTTGAAGTTTGGTGATAACTGCAGAAGTATTTACTCTATCCTGACCAATAGGTGCCACCTATATATACACCCCTAATAGGGACTCTGACATACTTCCAAGGAGGTAAGGAGAGATACTTTGATTTTTTTTTTAATTATTTGCTTTTTGGGACCTCCCTGATGGCGCAGTGGGTTAAAGCACAGCATTAAGAAGCTAAAGCCAATTCAGCATGAGTTCAATCCCCACCCTGGGAGGTGATCCACATGGTGTGGCAGACCTCTCCTGACCCACCCGCTGCTCCCCTCAGCAGTGTACTTCATTACTCTGTCTCGGGTGAAGCCTCTCACCGCCCCCATACCTCTGGCCTATACCGCAGTTCTGTATGCATAAATAAATAAATCTTAAAAAAAATTATTTGTTTTTTGTCATTCTTTATATTCTTTACTTTGAAATACTATTTCATATGGCAAGTAACCTGAATTTTCAAATTCTCCATGCTTCTTCCTCCTTTTATATTTTTAACCTAAAAAAGAAAATAATTAAATTTTACTTATATTTAATATACAAGATAATATTGAATCTTTCAATGGGTCATATGTCACAGTCATATGCACACACAGTACCTAAAGTTGCCTGTGATCATAGTTGGCTCCAGAACAAAGAAGGGGGTGACAGGAATACCCTCAAGTACTCAGTTTTTCTGGCCTAATGCAATATGGGGCAGTTTAGTAGAACTGGATAAGCCACTTTATTTTTAATTAACCATCATTAATTGGACAAGGAATTTAAAATATTTTTATCAAGAGGCAAAAGGTTTTGTGTTTGATTAAAATTTACCTCAATATATTATTAGTTTTACTTTATATTTTCCAATTTAATTCTTTGTGAGTGTCATAGAAGACATATATATATGTGTATATATATACTGTGTCTTCTACATACATCATGCAATAAAATGGGAGTCTGTGCTCAAAAAAATAATGATAGAAGCTGAGACAGAAGTAATTCTGGAGCTGATAGTTTAAAGAACAGATATCAAACTTTTTGTGTCTGCTTGCATAATTCCTAAAATGATTTTACTGCTTTCCAAAACAACTAAAAAGGAAAACAAAGCAAAACAGTACAGAGCTGAGAAATGCAATAGCAGCAACAGGCTCACAGGATTTCACAAACCGGCAAAGTCAGAAAAAGAGCAGAAATAATAGTGAAGATCATTAATTTCATTTAGGAGAGGAAAACAAAGCTTTCTATTCCAACTAAAAACCACATTTCCATATCTGAAAACCAGCAAAGTCTCTGTCAGAGACTCAAAGGGATTTCTTTCCACACACCAAAGGAGAATAAGGAACAGGTCCTTCGACAGATCATAAAGGCCCTTGAACTCTACACGGGATGGTAGTCAGGGAAACAGATGGGAAGGCAACAGATGACCCCAAGAAAGGCAGGGCGTTTCATTAGGCCAACATCAGACCAATTATTGGAGAATCACTCGTGTAGCCGAGTTAGATTTATCTCAAATTTATACAGAAAATTCTGTGATAGCTGTGAACTTTTTCAGCCAAATGGCACTGCGTTCTCCTTTCCCTATATTGTAGCACTTATTTCACTGCCAATAAGAAGTGAAGTTGGGATTTAAACCCAGGCATGTCTGACTCCAAAGCCTTTCTGAAATAAAAGCAGCATATAAATAAGCCTCCCAGAAGAGATAGGATTTGAAAGTGGAGACTGGCTAGGACTGGAAGGGAGGAAACAGGAAGAGGGGGCGCTAAGTAGGCCACCAGTGGAAGAGAACAGAGAGAGGGAAGGCGTGGGGCTGGACACCCAGGGTGTGTGCAGGAGCTACCAGGTGGTAGCACAGATAGTTTGGGAGATGTATAGGAAGATGGTACAAAATAAGGCTGGCAAGGCTGGCTCAGGCCTTCCTGTAGAAGTGCTGTAAACTCACCATTCTGGAGGCAATGATTAATTATAAAAGACTTCAAAGCAAAATAGACCCTAGGAAAACTAATTTTGCTATGGTATAAAGATGGATCAAAGAAGTAAAAAGGTACTTTGCTCACAGTAGATGCACACAGATTAATATATAAGGAAGAAAGGCCAGGTTAAAATGTATTGTGTTTCTCTAAAATAATTACAAACCCATTTGGCATAGTCCCACTTAATATTTTGCTATTTTGAGAACAAACTTGACTCATTCTGGAAGGAAATAAAGCTACTGGTGCTTTTAAAAAAAAATTAATTCACCGTCAAATATGGCCCTCTAAATGTTGCTGTTAAAGTGTCTACGGTTGAAAAAAAAAATTAACACCTTATTCTATTCAGAGGAAAGCACATCTGAGCCACTATTGTGAATGCTGAAAAAAAGAAAACAAAATTAATCATGTATAAAAGTTATGCAATACGGATTGGGTTTCCCTCCCTGCAACAATGTGCAAGGTTGTTGGAAAGTGAGGAGATCTTGAGCTTAACTCCATATTTCCTATGCCCTCTTAAAGTCCCCCAGTCAAATAAACACTAAGCCATAGATTTCCTGATGATGCCAAATTTCCTTCTGCACAGGTCACTGTACAATCTGCAAAGCATCAAGAACTCAGTAAGAACCCAAGGTTGAAAACACTGAGATGAGTCATAACCTACCTGATTTTCTTCATGGGAAACCCTCATCTGCTCCTTGAGTACAGACATCCGGGCTGCCTCTTCTTTCCTCAAGACTCTCTCCTTCTTGAGTTCAGGACTCCAGAAGGTCTTGATACTATTCATGGAAGATCCCAACTTGCTATCCTTGATGTCTAGCTCTTTCCGCAGGAGGTCATTCTCTCTCTGAAGTTCCTTGAGCTGGGCTTGAAGGTCTAACATTGTGCTATCCCTTACCTGCCTCAACATGGAGGGGACCTGGTGGTGGTGATGATGGGATGAGCTTGTCAGACCGCCATGTTGATCCGTGTATGAAAGGACATCTGTGTGAGAAAGTCCAGCTGAAGCAATATTGGGACTACTTCCCATGGCTGTGACTCGACCTCCATATACAGCTCGATTTGTGGCCCTTCCCAGAGTCATAGTGCCCTTTGGATAAGTTGTTGAAGCCACTCCTTCATGATCACTCAGATACATGGGCCCAGAAGTAGCATAGGCTGCATTAAGGGACTGAATATTTTCCATGGACAGAGTCTTGCCTGTTCCTCCACCTCCCCCACTACTTGTTCGTCTATGACCCAAACGAGGAGACCTTGGCAAACGGGGAGATCTAGAAGGGCTCCCCTCCAGATTGGTGATTGTTCTTGCACTGCCATACATTTTGCTTCTATTATGAAGTGCTACTGAAGAGAAGGAATGTTATATACAGTTGGGGATTAAGCCAATATTTCCATGCTTGGCCAGAATTTTCACTGCATTCTTCTCAGTCTGAGAAGTCAGACTAGTCAGAGATCTGAAAAATAAGAAAAAGGATAATTAGAAAATAAACTTCTTGGGGGCCTCACTGGTGGCGCAGGGGCTTGGGCATGGCACTGTGAAGCTGTCCACAGCCACTGCACTGCAGCTCAGGTTCGATCCCCGAGCAGGGAGCTGACCCACGTGGCACAGCAGACCTCTCCTGTCTCATTGGCTGCTCCCCTCAGGAGTATAGCTCAGTCAATCTGTCTGTTATGCTCTCCACTGTCTCTGGTGAACACTCTCACCTCTCACACCTCTAGCCTGTACCCCAGTTCTTGTATGCATAAATAAATATTTTAAAAAACAAATATGTTGTTACATCCCCTGCTGAACCCATTACAGACATCACTAATTCGTGACAGTCGCTGTCCTGTTCCACAGACAATTTTCTAACTCCTCTCAAAACTCTAGACAGTTTGCCACCAATCAGCTAGGATTGATATGTGGGTCAGAACCTACCAGCCATCTTGGAGCTAGAAGAAGAGGCGGTTCAACCAAAAAGACTCCTAAATACAATTATCAGAGAAAATGGCAGTCCTGTCTTTTCTGCCTTTCACATGAATGTTCCTTTAGCCACTCCATACCTGTACAACCAGCAGTTGGCCACAAACACATGAGCAAATTCAGTTGAGCTCCTCTGAGCCCCACACACCCCTAACACCTGATAGTGTATCACTGATGTTTTATGGTTGGTTGTTACAGAGCAGTACTGGGCTGTCACATTTACCCGTGCACTTCCTTTTTAGTACATCCAATTCTAGTTAGGTTAGCTGTTACTTACATCCTGAAGAGGCCTCAGAGATAATATGAAGAACTATGTTCCATAAAGGCTGCTTTCCCTAACTAAAGACCTTAATTTCAAATGTTTACATTGCTAACAGCTTACTTTTGTTTCACTCAGAAATATACAAAAAGCATTATTTGTCTAATTTTTTGCATGAATAATCTGATTTTTAAAAGAAAAGGTGAATACACAGTTTCAACAATAGGAATTCAGTTACATAAATGACAGAGAAGCAGACAATGGGATAACCAGCTTTTACATGAATATTTAAGGAGAAACAAAGATGTTTATGGAAAACTGGGGCAGAAGAAACAACATTTATGGTTTATTCACATAGTAAAACACATATATACACACACTAATTTTCAGAAAATATTGAAACAAAGCACATCAAAATGTTAACAGTGGTAGGATTCCGAGGGGTTTTCATTTGCATGTTTACTTGCATGCTTTACATCTATAAAGAACAATCGTCTTTTTAGTTCCTATAACATTTATTTTTGGTCTGAGCTTCATCTTTTTCTTCCTTTACTACTAATTTTGGCCTTAATTTGTTCTCCCTTTTCCAGTTCCTTGAGGTGTAAGATTGGGCTGTTTGAGATCTTTCTTTTTTCCTAATGTAGGTATTTATTGCTATGGACTTAAGAAATTCCACCCCCCTATAATTCCAGTGGTTAAATTAATTTGTTCTCTCCTGTATTTAGAACCAAAGAATCTAGGACTTTGATCCACAACTACAGAGTCATATTCCTAGAAAAAGAGATGAAATGAAATTTGTCCTTCTCTGTTTCACCTCTTGATAGGTCTGAGGTTCCATTCCAAATGTTACAAAATTTATATCCATACAGTTTCAATTTTCAGTGATTTAGCCACCCCAGTTAGCCTAAGTTTTAGAAAGAACTACAACCACCAAGAAATGAAGTGTATTTGCTCATTTTGAAAATACATATACACACAAACACACATAATATGATAAAAAGATATGTTAACTTGTTTGAAATGATGTTCACTTATTGAAAGAACAATACATGCTCATAACACAATGGCCCACAGTTGTGCTGGGTTCTCCTTTTCTTGATTTAATAGGTTTATGCTAGTGCCATAGAATGAATTGAGAAGCTTTCCATATTTATATGTTCTGGAACATAAGAACTTGCATGACACTTCTCTGCTCCTGAAATATTTGGTAGAGCACACACATAAAACTGAGTGGGTTTGGTTGTTGATTCTCTTTTCATTTTTCACTATGTTTACTGATGTATTCAGGTTTACTCCCTATTTTGTTTTTTTTTAAGATTTATTTATTTATGCATATTTATGGGTACAGGCCAGAGGTGCAGGGGCAGTGAGAGGATTCACCAGAGACACAGTAAGGAGCAGAACAGGCCAACTGACGAAGTACACTGCTAAGGGGAGCAGTGGGTGGGTCAGGAGAAGTCTGGCGGGTCAGGAGAGGTCTGTAGCACCACGTGGATCACCTCCAAGGTGGGTATTGAATTCATGCTGAAGTGGCTTCAGCTTCTTAGTGCTGTACTTTAACCCACTGCACCACCAGGAAGGGCCTATTTTGCATTTTTAATAACTACTGGACTGTTTCTCCAGAAACACTTCATTTCACCTAAAATTTCCCACCTTACTGATAGCTTTTTTTTTATTGTCTCCAGTTATAGCACTCTCTCATTCCAAATGTCTATATTTTTCTGTTTCTCTTGATGGCAATATGACAAAAATTTGTCTATGTTTTAAAGACGCAGTTTTTGGTTTCATTGAAACTTTTTGCATGTTTTATCTTCCCTTTTGTTGGCATTTTTTAGCTTTATTAATAATTTCTACTTTTTATGTTTACTTTTGTCTTTTTTTTGCATTCAATGTTAGTTTATCTTCAATCATATTTCCTGATGAATGCATGTAAGATTACACACATCAACTGCAAAGTCTAGGATTGTATGTAACAAATTCCTTATTTTTTTTTGTCAAGTTTCATATTTTTCTCTTGAAATTTTTATCTATCCCAGAAATTATTCAGGATATATTTAAAATAGGTAATTATTTTTTAATGAAAACTTCATAGCTCTAATTTCATGGTATTGGCATTGTAGAATATAACACATGTTTTCTAATCTCAGAAGTTTATCTAATTGGCCAAATAAATGATCACTTTTCTTAAATGTTGAAACATCTAGTAAATGGTTAAAGAAAAATTTTAAATGTGTAAAAAAGTGTGTAAAAGTATGTGTAAAGAATAAAAATAAAATAGCCTCAATCCTATCACTCATAGACAACCTTAACAAGTTGATGGTGTTGCTTATTACTCCTTTTAGGTGTATATTATGTGTACATATATATCAACATATGTATAATATATATATATAACTTTCATCAAAATTAGTACTATATTCTATATAGTCTTATATTCTTTTCAGTCAATATTTTATTATTAACATCATCTCCTTTTTCCATTTCACACTTATGCCACAAAATATTTTTTTTTTAAAGATTTATTTATTTATTCATACAGAACTGGGGTACAGGCCAGAGGCTCAGGGGCGGTGAGAGGCTTCACCAGAGACAGAGCAGGGAGCAGAACAGGCAGATCGACGAAGTACACTGCTGAGGGGAGCAGCGGGCGGGCAGGAGAGGTCTGGCTCGCCATGTGGTCTCCTCCGGGGCAGGCGGCAGGCGGGAATCGAACTCATACGGAAGTGGCTTCAGATTCCCAGTGCTGTGCTTTAACCCGCTGCGCCACCAGGGAGGGCCACCACAAAATATTTTTATAAAAAATAATTCCTAATGGCCATCATGAGCCTCCAAGATTACATCACAATTTCTTCCCTCCCTGTGTTCCTCTGTCTCTCCTTCTATCAAGAAATGGATTCTATTTCCCTTTTCCTTGAATCTTGGTTGAACTTAATTAACAGAAACTATAGACATAACATGTTTCTAGTTGGGTGTAGCCCTAAAAAGACTGGCAGGTGCTCACTTCTGCTTACTTAAAATTCAGTTGCCATGACATAAGGAAGTTCAAGCCACTAGGGATAAGAAGTCACAGAGAAAGACCCTAAAAGCTGAGCCATCACCTGGAGTGAGAGGCAGTAAGGAGGAGAGCAAAGTATCTAATCAACAGCCAGCATCAGGACGTGCATGGTGAGCTATGTCATCTCGCACCTTCCAGCCCAGGCTCGCTGTCTGGAATCAGTCCCCATCAGTGATAGCCAACACTGTGTGTAACAGAAGGAACACCCAAGCAACCCCAGAGCGGTGGGGGGAAATAACTTATTGTTTAAAGCTTCTGAGCTTGGCAGTTTTTTGGTTATTATTATTTGCAGTAAAAGAACTGAAACAGTCACTTAATATATCACTGAATGGTAATGTGATCATTTATTCAACCAATCACCTAATCTGTGATACTTAGGTTATTTCTTTTTTAAATGACTGTATCATTGATATGCTGATAAAGTCTTGCATACATCTCTTACTGCTTCCTTAAGAAGTTGTCAAAGTAGAAATATAAGGTTAAAGTGTAACAGTTCTTGATCCCCACTTTCAAAACTTTCCCCAGAAATGTTGAAATAACTCACATTTCCTTGGCTATTTTCCTTCCACAGCTTCAACTCATTTCTCCTAACATCCTAGAAGTTACCATCTCCTCCTGAGGCTACTAAAAGTCCCTGAATTACCCATATGAAAAAAAACACAGCTCTGCATATTCAGTAAATACACTTTAAGAAGTATTTATTAAATGTGGATATTGTGCTTACACCAGCTCTGCTTTAGGTCAGTGCTTCCTCAGCAGTTTGGCCAATAGTCAGATAAATAAAGCCAAAGGGTTTTGATTCTGTCCCAAGACATCTCAGAGACTTTAGGACACTAATGTGTATTATATTTCGACATTAAATATATAATGTAGTTTTTCCCAAATTCATTTCATGAAAGCCCTTTTCCCTTCAGAATAACAGAACACATTTCACTGAATATTCAGATTTATTTGTGTAATATATTTTTTAAGCATCAATTTAATTCCCAGTGTTGAGTGCTAAGGAAAAAGCAATGATTGAGACAGACACTGCCTCTGTCTATGGGACACTGCCTCTGCCCACTAGAATATACTTTTCAGGCAAAGCTTTCTTCATCTTAAGGGAAAGAGGGGCAGGATTCTTAACCCATAAGAATCAGAATTGATAATTAACAGTAAAGTACAGAAGGTCAAAATA